GAATATCCGTTATAGCCTACACTTTCCAGTACATAATCATACAAACAAATATTACATATTAATTTAATATCAATTAGGACATTATTTCTTTAAGTATTGCAGTAGCTTTGATGATTGATATATCATAATTTGGATTTGTTGTTTGACATTTTTTTAAAAATCTTTTGTTTGATTTATCTAAGACTCATTTATTTGGATTTAATAAGGATCGGGAAGAATGTGGGAAGTTCATCATGAGTTATAGCTACTTGGAATAACCTTAATATAGTCATATTTTGTGATTTATGTATCAAGGAGGTTGAGGCAGGACATCGTCTTGGCACTCACTTTAACAAAGATGCACTACAAAAAAACACACAACAGTCACTTTTTTTTCGTGACTTTTGGCAGTATTAGTCACTAATATTGGTGACTATGGCCAATAGTAATGGTGCAGTTACAATTTTTGATGTGGCCATGACTGTTGGGTTTTGTCACAATTAAAGCATCATTTCGTGACAAATTGTGTTGACTATCCTATTACTCCAAAGTTGGCCCCACATCATGTCTAATCAAACTATATTTATGTTTTATTATTTTATTTTATTTGACTGCACTGACGTCCAACATCGTTCCATTATCTTTATAAAGAAAATAGAAATCCTTTTCATTATTATTTGTGTTATATTTGTGTATTATATTTTTCACAATTATAATAATTTCCAATTCCTTTTTATTTTTATTTTTAGCTGAAATCAGATCCCTTACCGAAAACCAGATCCCTCATTGAAAACCAAATTACAACACTCAAACCAAAATACCCATCACCTAATTCTTAGCTGAAATCACAATCAAAGATGAAAAAAATCTGAGTCAAGACCCATATTATATATATCATCCTTCCATAAGAGTTGAAACTTTAACCAAATAATTCAAACCAAGAAACTTAAGAACAATAAACCAAAAAAAAAATTCCAGACACAATCCAGCTACATATGTAGGAAACAAATGTTCTTCAAACACTAAACCAAAGACAAAGACAACAGGATCTAGGCCAACATCATTTGAACACATGAAGGTTCAGACTGACGGCGTTGACGTCGTCATTGGTTGGGCTTCAATGTGGCTATCAAAGAGACAATTGGATATGTGTGAACATCGTTGGTGTCGGCGTTGGTTGGGCTTCACATATAGAAAACTCTTATCTGGAAAAGGATTTCAGTAGAAGGTTGAGAGATGGAAGCTTTCCAATTGAGTCTCATAAATCAAACCCACACATAAATAAAACCCAAAACCATTCCTTAAATGAAACCCACATGAAAACTTCAAAAAATGAAACCTTTACCTTTCCACGGGGAGATGCAGTTCAGATCTGAATATTTGAGTTAGGAATATAAGATTGCGGAGAAACAGAGAAGGGCAAGATGAACTAACAACATACCAGGGATTGATAATTATGAGATTGAAAGGAGAAGAAGGAGAAGATAGAACGGTGAAAGAAGTTGGATTAGAAAGTGAGGAAGGAGAAAGATAAGGGATTGAGGTTCATACAAAAATATAAAAGCCTTAGGATTGAGGATGAGGAAATGAGAACAAAAGAGGGAAGGGAAAAGAGCCTTGGTTAGTGAGAAAGATTCCGTCTATATATTTTTATTAAATTACCATTGTAAATATTTTATTATGGGAAAGATTGTCCTTTTATATTTTATTACATATTACTATTCATGTGTCACCTACAACAAAATTTATTATATTTAAATCATTAGACACATATAATAGTGACTAATTTGGTAAACTAGTTGACCACCCATAATTGTCACCAAAATAAATTAGTCACTTTAAAAAAATGTGACTATACTTCCTTTTTTTTGTAGTGATGGATGAGAAAATTGAAATTAAATTTTAAGAAAGAGACGGGACATGAGTATGGTAAAGTTCAATTGAAGAATAAGTGGGATGCACTTAAGATTGAATGGAAGTTGTGGAAAGAACTATCATGAAAACACCTGACGTCAAACTTGCGTGGCTTACTTATAATACCCCAAAACTAGATTTTGCTAGTCCTCGAGCAAAACAAAGTAAAAATACCATTTAGAAAACAAGAAATAAGTGGCAAGCCTTCCAAACAATATCCTCAAAGAATCACCGAAGTATATGGTTCCAAAGAAACACAACAATCACAATCTAAGTTCCACACATGATTCAAGGGTAACCAAAGCTCACAATAGCATCCTTAAGTGTAGTGTGTGAATGCAGTATCAGTACAACACCTGCAACTCAAATAAGTACATGCGCACACACTTAGAGCAAAATCAAGAATTCCGAACCCCATAAGCTCATTATCAAAACAGCTCTCCACAGTAATACCATATAATACCAAGGATCAAAAGGACTTTACAAGGGTTGTAATGAGGCTTAGGGTAGTGGTTGAATGAAAGAGGGGATATGGATATATAACAACATCTTGAGCACAACTAAAGCATAAGTAAGAGCATGAGAGATTACTGATCTTTGTAACAAGCAAGGAACACATACATGAGCATATTTTCAACAGAATTTTAGCACCTTCATATATGTTTATTTGGCCTAATTTTGTGGCTCTTTACCCTAGATCACCATGATCTTCTATTTTATAACACCCTAGGGCCGTGACTACATTGGTCACACTTCATTACCTCTTTTGATTAGTTACCAATACCCCAAAACTTATTTCTTTTCAACACTTGGGTTATGGCACTAATGATTCACTTTTGCTCCAAAAACTTTGCATTCTTTATAACTCTCTTTCGAAGATAGCTTTAATTGCTCATAGAATAAGTAAGAATAAGAAAACAGAGGTGCATTAAGGTAGGAGTGGTTTACACAAAGAAAGGCTTAACGTAAGCTCAAATGGGTTGACTAGGGATGAATACATGTAGAGGGATGGTTAGAAAAGCTCAAACGGTTCAAACATGGCCTAAATCACTTCCTAAGCATTGTCTGGAAATAAATTGTCTCAAGAGATATTCAAATAAGTTCTAGAGTATGAAACCAAGATCATGAGATAAGTAGAATTGCATAACGTCTCCAAGTAGCAAGAAATTGGACTAACTCGACAAAGTGCTCAATAAGTGCAAGGATGGCATGCAAGACGGAGTTAAATCAGAACCACACAAAGTCCTTAAACAATAACTATCAATTTCTGAGAAACCATATTAGTATTAGTCCAAGTCGTATCATAGGTGTTTGGAAGGATAACGAAACAACACACAAAATCCTGCTTTTTTGGCCATTAGACACACTCAAAATTTTAAAATTTGACAATTTGAAACAACATGACTAAATCCTTCCCCCCAAACTTAAATGAAACATTGGCCTCAATGTTTAGAGTGTAAGAAAAAGCAATGCCTCATAAATGAAAGGAAAGAAGACAAGGGAAAGACATAACCAAAGGTTAGAGTTTAGAAAAACTCCCTTTTGAAGCGATTAGGACGCAAGCAAGCTTCCTCGCATATTCTATCTTCTCCTCGTCACCTTGGGTTGCCTCCCAAGAAGCGCTAAGTTTCACGTCTTCAGCCGAACGTCCAAACTTTCTATAGTGAATAGGGGGTTTTGGGCTCAATCGACACCTCATGCAATGCAAGAGAGTTCACCAAGCTTGTTTTCCTTTTTCATTGCTTCCTTACTGCTTTTCTTTTCCTTTTCTGTTTATGAATAGAATCACAATGAATTGTAGGAATGATTGGAATATTAACATCTCCAAATTTGGGCAGCCTCTTCTTGTGTGTGGGAATTGTAGCATTGAACATATGGGCTGCCCCCTGCTCCTCCTTGTCTCATCTTTTCAGCAAGCATGGTTCTACTGAATATGGAAGGCCATCAAATCTCTGCATGATTCTATTGAATAAGGAAGGCCACCATATACTTCAATTTGAAAACAATCTTGTACAACATTCGGCTTCAGGGCATCAAACACTTTGAAGGCAACAGTTTCTCCATTAATGGTCATGGTGAGAGTGCCTTGCTCTACATCAATCTTGGTCTTAGCAGTAGCCATGAAGGGTCGGCCAAAGATAAGGGGTAATTCATTGTCAGGAATTGGTGCTTTTTACATCTCCAGGACTAAGAAATCGACTGGCAAGATTAAACCTTCTTCGTTCACCAAAACGTCTTCTAGAATGCCCTTGGGGTACCAAATAGTTCTATCTGCTAATTGAATGCTCACAGTTGTGGCTTGCAACTCACCAAGGTTAAGTTTCTGATCATAAACATGATATGGCATAAGATTTATAGAAGCACCAAGATCAAGCAAAGCTTTTTGAAACTTAAAATCACCAACTATGCAAGGTATAGAAAATGAACCTGGATCCTTTAGCTTTGGAGGTAGCTTTCTTTGTAACACTGCACTTACCTCTTTACTCAATGCAACTTGTTCATGCTCTTTGAATCTCCTCTTGTTAGTGCATAGATCCTTCAAAAAATTTGCATACTTTGGAATATGAGAAATGGCATTGAGCAATGGGATGTTAATTTGCACCTTCTTGAATGTTTTCATTATCTCATCCAAGCCTTGATCTTTCTTTGACTTTGATAACCTGCTGGGAAAGGGTGTAATAGGCCTAAAAGCATTAGTTGAAATTGGAACTTGATTAGCATTAGATGATACCTTAGGGCCTGTGCTCTTTCCAAGAGCATTGAGGGGCTGTTTGGTGGAACCTGTGGGCTGCCCATGTGGTGGTTGAATGATCTCCACATTTTCTCCATCTTCTTGCTCTTCATTGGCATCTCCAACCTTATTATCAACTTGTTTACCACTTCTCAAGATGTGTACTGCTTTAGCATGCTCTTGATGCCTTGGATTCACCTCCGTTTGGCTTGGAAATGTTCCGGATGCTCTATTTCTCAAGGAGGATGCAATCTGCCCAACTTGCACTTCTAGCTTGTTCACTGCATTTTGAAAATTCTGATTGGTTTGCATCTATTGCCCCATGAAATTCTTGAACATGTCTTGCAATTTTCCCATTTGGTCAACCCTTTGCTCTTGCACTCATTGGGGAGCTTGCTGGAATTGCCTTTGTTGTATTTGAAATCCTGGGAGAGGTCCTTGAGATTGTTGCACATTTGAGTTGTTGCTCCACTTGAAACTAGGATGATTTCTCCACCCCGGATTGTACGTGTTTGAGTAAGGATCATTATTAGGATTCCTTGGTTGAAGGGCATTTGCTTCCTAGAGGGCCAGTCATTGCCCGTTGAAGCAAAGAACACATAACATCAAGCTTTGCAGCAATCTCATTATTAGTACTTACCTCAGAGACCACACCTTTCATAGGAGCTCCTCTTCCTTTATTATGGCTCCATTGTTGAGAGTTAGCACTCAAGGATTTAAAGTGAGTAAAAGCCTCATCTGCTGTTTTATTCATCAGTCATTCTCCACTTATTGCATCTACCATCATCCTTTCAGAATTAAGCAAACCTTCATAGAAAGATTGCATTTGCATCCAACTCTCTATGTTGTGGTGTGGGAAAGAAACTTATCATCTCCTTGTATCTCTCCCAACATTCATGAAAAGCTTCTCCTTCCTTTTGTGTGAAACTAAAGATTTCCTTTCTAGTCTTGTTAGTCTTTTGAGCCGGAAAGAATTTCTGCAAAAACTTATTAGAAAGCTCATCGCAAGTACGAATTGACGCATTAGGCAAAGAGTATAACCAAGATGTAGCTTTATCTTTTAAACTGAATGGGAATAGCCTCATCTTAATCTGCTCATCATCGAGGCCTTGAATTTTGATTGTAGCACATATTTCAAAGAATTGCTTAATATGCATGTAAGAATCCTTAGTGGCATTACCATAATAAGTTGGAAGAAGATGAATCATACCACTTTTAAGCTCAAACTTGTCAACTATGAGTTAAGGATAGACGATGCACGAAGGTTGATCGGTGACTTTGGGAATGGAAAACTCACACAGGGGTTTTCGAGGTTGGACAACAAGCGCACCACCTCCTTCAACATTATTGTTGTTGTTCGAAATCTCTGCCATCTTGCTTGAATCTTCAGATTCTTAACTCTTAGATTCAGTGCTTGAAGAACTATAATTCCTCCTCAAACCACCACGTACAGCAGCAGTTCTTAGTGAAAGTGGCTCAGGTGAACTTTGCTCCTGGTCAGATTCGGACGTGCACACACCAAGGAACTCAATTCCCTGCTTTCAATGGAGATAACAATTAAATACAAGAACTGAATACTAAAAGAAAAACCAACGAAAAGAAACAAATGAAACAAACAAAAACAAAACAATCAAAGTAATCTAACTATAGCACCATCGTTACCGGTTCCCCAGCAACGGCGCCAACATTTTTTTGAGCCTATCCTTAACAACTAAAATGAGTTATTAAAAACAGCAACTTTAATTCTCGCAAGTGCACGAACCATTTATAGTATAGCTTATGTAAATACGAGGTCGATCCCACGGAGAATGGTAACTTGGTTCCAAGTTAAATTACTTAGAATGCTAGAAAAACATAGAATAAAGAAACTGACTAACTAGCTAAAGGCAAGGTCGAATTCA